TCATCCACACAAACACTCCACGAAGTCAAAGGCACTAGTTAACCCCATTTCACAGATGAGGAAACTGAGGCTCAAGGAGGTTACGTGACCTGCCCAGGTTCATGTAGATAGTGACAAAGCCAGGACTTGAACTCCTGTCAGTCTGGCTCCAGGGTCCCTGATCGTAATGACACCACAGGAACAGAGAGGAGGGGTGTACTAACAAGAGACATGGGAGTACGATGGTCATCAGGCATAGCCCTGGCAGCAAACAGAGCCCACCCCGGTGCTTCACAGGGAGAGACTCCAGTGAAGGGACCACCTACAGAGGTGTAGGTGGGGTTAAGGAAGAAAATACAGGTGTTGAGGCAACCGCAGGAAGCCCTCACCACTCCTAGGCCTCTTCCTGAGCCCAGAGAGGGCCAGAGCCACATGAGGAGCCCAGCTGCCGCCAGAGACAGCACAGAAGCAGTGGCTGCAGGGAGCACATACCCCGTCTTCTCTCTCCTGGCGCCTCCCATCTCCTGATGGTTCCCTCCATCCAGCCAGAAGCCAGAGGGCAAGGGAACCTGGGAGGTGCAGGCGTGGGAAGGGCAGAGAACGGGTCTGGGGGTGGTTCAGCAGAAGGAGATGGGCCTGGGGACTGAATAGGAGAGTGAGGGTAGGGGAGGATTCCTGGGGGACTTCCAGGTCCCTAACTTGGGTGACAGGTGGATAGTGGCACCATCCCTGAGTCAGGAGGAAATGGAGCTACTCAGTGGAAGCGCTGATGGGCTCAGCTCTGGCTCTGGAGTGTGAAGGTTTTATGGGACACCTAAGTGTCACCTAGGTCTCCAGTGACAGTGGCATACGCAGGTCTGGAGCTCAGGAGAGAAATAGGAACAGGGAAAGAGGTAAAGGAATTGTCAGCACGAGGAAAATGGTTGAAGCCTGAGAGTGGGAGTGATAACTCAGGGAGAGCCCTTTTAGGACAAAGAGGGTCAAGGACTGAACCCCAGGGTCCATTTCCATCTTAAAACAATGGTGGGGCTTCCCTGGTGGCACAGTGGTTAAGAATCCGCCTGCCAATGCAGGGGACACTGGTTCGAGCCCTGGTCCGGGAAGATCCCACATGCCATGGAGCAACTAAGCCCGTGTGCCACAACTGCTGAGCCTGCACTCTAGAGCCCGTGAGCCACAACTACTGAAACCAGTGCGCCACAACTACTGAAGCCCGCGTGCCTAGAGCCCATGCTCTGCAACAAGAGAAGCCGCCGCAATGAGAAGCCCACGCACCTCAACGAAGAGTAGTCCCCACTCATCGCAACTAGGGAAAGCCCACGTGCAGCAACGAAGACCAAATGCAGCCAAAAATAAAATAAATAAAATAAATAAATTTTTAAAAAAACGATGGTGGAGGAGTGGAGAGAGAAAACACCTCCTTTTGCACAGGGATGACCCTGAGCAGAGGCAGCCGGGGGTAGGTGGCTCTGCTGGTAAGGGTCCCACTCTCCTGCTTTCCAGAGTATTTCTTCTAGTGTTGTTTCATCATTGTCTGAAGAGCTGTCTCCAAATGGGATGTGAACCCACTGGGATCATCTTGTGGAAGAATGTATTACAGCCTTTGTTTACTTTTTTATGTAAAAAAAAATGAAAGAAATTAAGCTTTACTAAGATTTAATACTCAGACTGACCCCGGGGCCCTGGCCCAGTGGGTGTGTCTGGTGGTCTCATGCAGGAACTCTCCTGAGAACGGAGTGGTTGGTCAGTCTGTGACATGAGCCAGCCACAGGGCATTGTGTCCAGGATCCCCAGGACAACCCCCCGTCCAGTGATTCTCTAGGAGGACCCAGTATAGAATTGTACTCACAGCAATGATTAATTACAGAGGAAGAACGTAAAGCAAAATCAGCAAAGTGAAAAGGCACATGGGGTGAGGTCACAGGGAATCAGGTGCAAGCTTCCCAGAGCCTCTCCCAGTGGAGTCACACAGGGTGCACTTAATACCCCAGCAACGACTTGTGACAACACACGAAATGTCTACCAGGGAAGCTCACTGGACACTCAGCCCCCAGGGTTTTTATTGGGGTCCGGTCACCTGGGTACCCTCTACTGAGCACATACCAAAATTCCAGGCTCTCAGAAGGAACGCAGGTGTGCGGCATAAATCACGCTGTTTGCACAAACCCTTCAGGCACAGAGTCACTCTTATCATTGAGGGAATGGTGGGAACCCTCCCCAAATCCAAGTTCTCAAACACCAGCTTAAGCGAACCTTGCCAGCAGGTCTTGGGCCTGCTAGGTTACCTCTTTTCTGGCCAGGCACCCTCACCCATTCTGTGCTTTCAGTTTATGGCAACATATTGCCGTTTCCAGTTGCCAGGTTAAATTTACATCATTGAGTTTTTACTAACTTAACTCACTTGTATTATTGGGTCTTAATGAATTTGACCCTACAAAATAGACAAGTGGCCCGAAAATGATTATGCCAAAAAAAATATAAGTCAAAGCAAATATAATAATGCCAAGCATATTGGAGTAATACTTTAACCCAAAATAAGAGATCTTTGTCTGCCACATTATGAGGTAAAAATAACCATATTATTTCATCTCTTACCATCCTTTTAAAAATTTCCTTGTTCGTATATGTTCGTGTTTAAAATTGTTTTTCTGATAGGGGGACATGATCAAAAGGGCTTGGAGACCATTGGTCTTCACAGTCATGTCAACCATTAGCTCTAAAAGTGTGTTGAAATCAGCCAGTTCTCAGGCTGGTCAGCTACTCCCCCAGTGTGCTGTCCCTTTGACAGCTGCCTCCCAGGCGGGGATGGACCTGATTGGGGTAAGCAGACTCTCTGAGGAGCAGGCGGCATGATGTCGGGGAGAGAGGGCTGGACTGGGTCAAGGCCTTGACTTCCGGGCTCAGCTCTGGAGCTGGGTGGTGTGGTTGGGAGAAATACCTTAATGCCCCGAGTCTCAGTTTCTTCATCTACAAAGGGGTTTTCTCAACTCAGTTGATGACTCCAAAAAATCACTCTGGTTTTGGTTGTTGTTGTTGTTTTATTTGTTTGTTTTTATCATTGTATACTTAGTTTCTGGCCCAGTAATCCTTATTGAATGAACAGGTGAACAAATGAATGAATGAATGAAATGATCTGTAAGGTCCTGTGCAACTCTGATAGGCTAGGAATGTGTGATCTGGTCATTGAATAAGCTCAGGTCTAAATTCCGAATAATTGGCTCCTTCCCTGTCTCTATTCTGTTACTTTTCTTCCATCCTTGTTTTATAATACGGGTAATGACGTGGCCATCCTACACCTTCTCTAAAGTACTGTGATTCGTTCTTGCCTGTCAGAAATTTTTGAAATTAAAAAAAAAAGAAGGTTAAGTCCTCACCCTTACCATTGTCAGCATTCACACCTCACCCATCTGTGTTTCTGAACAATCGAGGTAATGCTGTTGTCCTACCTTAGGGGGTTGGTCTTGCCATCTACCCAACCAGTTCCTATTTTTACAGATAAAATGGAAAGGGGAAATGCCCTGTCTCTGAAAAGCTAGAGAACCAAGTTGCTAGAAAGGCAGTGTGAAGGGACTCCCTGAAGGGAGCATGTCTGGGAACCTCCTACATAACTGCCTGTAGCCCTGGGCTGGATGGGAGCACTGAGGTGGGCAAACCTGCTGGGCTCTGGACACAGAGGGCCCGGCCTGTCCACTCCAGCCCAACTGTCTCTCTCTCTCCTAACGCGCCCACCTTCCTGCTATGTTCAGCTGAGGCAGGTGGGGACCTTTCAGGGGGAACTTAGTTCAACGGAGCTGAGAAAGAGCCGGGGAAAGACCATAGTCTAGAACCAGAGCTCACGGAGCACGCAGCCTTTTTGTCCCAGTGAGTGGGAGGCCCCAGAACCCAGTGGCATACAGCCCAGTCCTGGGCCATGATGTGGGGACCAACCTGGAGCTAGGGGAGTCTCCTGGTTCTTGGAGGGTATCCAGACCAGCCGGTGAGGGTGGACTCGGGAGAGGCTGGGGTCTGGCCACAATGGCAGTGCAGGTGGGGAGTGGGTATCCAGGAGGCCCCCAAGACCTAACAGGTGGTGACCCAGCCTGCAAGGATCAGGCTGTTGGCTCCTATCAGGGCTGGAAGTTTGTGGCAGCCACCAGCCCGGGGCTGGGGATCAGGGCACACTTTGGTGCTGTGGAACAGCTGAGAGCCAGATAAGGCCTTAGTCCTGAGCAGGGACCCAGGCAGCATCGCTCCTCTCTTTCTCCAAAAGCATGAGGAGACGGGCCCCTGGTGGGAGTGGAAAGGTCACAGCCCCTCTCCTCTGGCCTTCCCCCTCAATGAGCAGCCCCTGACGATGGCCAGGAGCTGGGCTGGTGCAGCTGCCAGTCAGGCATCCCCGGGGCCAGTTCTGGCTGAGTTCTGCCCTGCTTTACCAGAGTGGCTGGGTCACTAGCGCTGGAGAAGGGCCATGCAGGCCTGTTGTCCTGCCCAGTCTCAGCCCCTGCAGCTCAGTGCTCTCCCCTCCCCGCTGCCCACAACCCAGGACCTGGGAGTCCTGTGGAAGAGGTTCCTGGGACTGCCTCGTCTCCTAGAGACTTGGGTGAGGAGGCAGAGAAATCAGCAATTGGGAGCACCTCTGCAGGCCTGTCTCCCCATATAGAAGGCTGTCAGAGAAGGAAAGGAGGGAGGGAAGATCAGAGGGCTGGTCTGAAACCCCTTAGTGGCGCCTCATTGGTCCTGGGGGCCTCTGTGCCTCTGTCTATGACTGGCTCCCTCTGGGCTGTGGGCCCATGAAAGGCAGGATTTGAATCTCATATGCCTCTGCGCCCAGGGCCCTGGCCCTGGTCTGGCGAGTGGCCAATAGAACTAAGCCTCTATCAGATTGAAATGTGATTGAAGGACTATTGATGCTAGTAAAACTCTACAGTATGTAAAGTAGAGCATCTGTCCCCATCTAGAGTCCCCCTGTTGGGACACTCTCCTAACTGATGAAGCCCGTCCCCCAGGAGATGTTAATGCCTCTGTTTTCTCATGGCCTCTAGGTCAGGACCTGGATTCTCACCGTGGGCTACACGACCGCCTTTGGGGCAATGTTCGCAAAGACATGGAGGGTCCACGCCATCTTCAAAAATGTGAAAATGAAGAAGAAGGTAATGCCTCCTTCTGTTGCAGGGTGTTTGCAATGTTCATTTAGTATTTATTTTTAAAAGATTTATTAGGCACCTACTGTATGCCAGGCACTGGGCTATTTGCTGGGGATTCAAGCTAAACACAGCCCTCCACCCCAACCCCCAACACCTTCAGCCTCCTGGGGACATCAGACAGCTAACAAAGCGTTTACAATGCAAGGTGATAAGGGCTGGTTGGGTGCATATGGGGGATACTGGGGTATAGCACCCAGGGAGGGCTTGGTGTAGGAAGTGACACCTATGCTAAAACCTGGAGGGTGAGTGGGAAGCAGAGGCTGGGGAGTTTTCCCTCTCCCAGAGGGAACTGTGTGCACAGAGGCCTGGTGAGGGGAGGGGTGTGTTCACGTTGCTGAGGGGTTCATGGGGAAAGGGTACAGGAGGAAGCCACAGGGGAAGGCAGGAGCCGTGGTAAGGAACCTGAACTTTAACTTGTGGGCAGTGGGGAGCCCTTGAAAGAGGAGAGTGAAACAGGGCAGGGGCCTGATTTAATGCTTCCATTTTCAAAGAGGCCTTTAGAGGACAGGAGCCCTTCCTTCGTGTGGGAGGAAAGCAGTTGCCACCTCTGTGGTTGGCTGTAACCATCATGTTGATTAAGCTTGACTCTTAGGATGTAGTCATAGAGAAGCTTTCCCCTCACTGTCCTTTCTAACTCTTCCGATGGCTGGCACTCTTCTTCCCTTGCTCCTAAGATAAAAATTCGGGCAAGTCTCATGACTTTGAAGGTCCTCTGGTCAACAGCTAATATGTGGAGTCCATCATAATATTCAAAACCTCAAACTGCCTTCAAAGGCATCGCCTCTTCCTTCCCCAGCTTGGCCTGAAGCAGCCAGTCACCTGCCCTGGGAGAAGGGGTGCGATGGGCTGCTTCTCTCTTTTGCCAGACTGAGTGTTTTCCCCGTCCCATTCCCAAGGTTTCTGAACCCTCCTGAGTTGGGGCTTCGAGTGGTGGAAGGGGCAGGAAGGACCTCACTTGCCAGGAGCTGCATCCGTCTTGCTGGGCCTGGCATTGGTTAAGCACACCCTTTAGGCTCTCATGGAGTCCTTTTGTGGAATTTTCAAAGCCCCCATTACTGGGATTTACTCTCCTGCAGTGGCCCCAACATGGGTGAAATACTCCCCCCTTTGGCCATTTGTGGCTCCTTCCACAGACATGTGGCAGTCCCCCACTCCTGGGCCCGCCCCTCCAGCTTGCCTTGGGCAGGCCACACAGCTCTACCTGGCCCAGGGCCCACACCTGGTGCTCAGGAAGCACTCACACATCCTTCGCTCCTACAAACTCAAGGATTGTGGCTGATCCCACTGTAGCCACTTCCCCTCTTCCGCTCCATCCATGGAGCAACTGGCCCGTTATCCTCCCGTGGGTTTCTCAGGCAGGAGTGAGGCATCAGCTCACCAGGTCCCCCAGGCTGCAGGGAGCCCTTAGCAATCAAGCCATCTGAGTGCTCTCCTTAAGCCTCCCTCTTGATTTGAGGTCAAGGAGGAAGCATACCCCCCGTCCTCTCACCTGGGGATGAGGTGAGATAGCATCATGACACGTCTTTCCAAAAATCCTCTTCTTGATTCAACTCTACCGACCCCCACACACACACTTTTAAAATCCCTGATGGGTGTATAACCCATTTACAGACATCTCCTCTGAAAATCCTGCACTGTGACCTCATCCCACTCTGGAACGTGGTGCCTGTTGTTCCAGTTCTTCATCCCAAGCTTGCATTTGCCATCCGAGTACCTGGGTCATAAGCCATCACGCCTGTGGCAGACAGCAAGTGAGCCCGAGGTGGTAGGGCCAGCAGACACAGCAGGAGAGCAGGCTTCTACTCCCTGCTTCACTGCTGACCCGCCATGGGTCCTTCAGCAAACCTCTTCATCTTTCAGGGCCTCTGTTTCCTTATCTGTAAAATGGTGAAGTATTGAAATGGCATTGTCTCCTGAGCTGTGATTCTGCCTGGTGCCCAGTGGCACCTCTCACTCATCAGCCTCGCTGCCTGCCCCTTCACTACCAGGGAGCTGCTCTCCAGATGGGGGGGTGTGCCCTCCCTTCACCCTGTGCCCCACACCAGACCACCTTAGGACAATTATGGGCTGCATTTAGAGGGAGGAAAGAGCTCGGCTCTGCCACCCATTGCCTGTGCTCACCTGGAAATCCCTCCTCTCACTGGGGCTCAGGAGCATTTGTGACAACTCCCTTCTGTCTGTAATATGAGGAGCCTGGCCACCTGGTCCTTCTCAGACCTGGCTGCACATTACAATCAAATGGGAGCTTTTGAAAACTACAAGAAGTAACCCAGCCCAGCCCACACCTCCGGGCTGGAGCTGAGCATTGGGAGTACTAGACCTCCCCAGGTGATCCTAATATACAGCCAGAGTGGGAGACCTCTGGTCTAGATCAGGGCTACTCAGAGTGCAAGCTGAACCAGCAGCATTGTTGGCATCACCTGGGAGCTTGTTAGAAATTCGCTTTCTCAGCTCGCCCAGCCCTGAGAATCAGGTTCCTGGAGCCCAGGAACGTGTGTTTCCACCAGCCCTCCTGGCAAAGCGGATACAAGCCAAAGTTTGACAGCCACCAGGTAACTTCTTGGGCCCCTCCTGCTCTGTGGCTCTGCCATTTATGACAAGTCCATCCTGGTTTTGAAGAATCACAGTGTTCGTTTCTTTGTGTCAATATGTAATTCATGCACATTATTATTGGCAATGGAGAACTGGCCTTTATTTTCTATTACTCATGTGATCACTAAGCAAGAACACTCAGATTGCCTGGCAACAATTGACAAAACATGCCAGGGAAGACTTCAGGAGTTCAGTTGTCTGAAAGCGCCATGGGAGTTGGGGCTGTGATGTGGCCACAGCCTGCTGGGCTGCCTGGGACAAGGGGACTCTCCCCACCCCAGGGTTCTGGGCAAAGTGAGAGCCCAGGCAGGTGGTGGGCCCACGCGTCCAGGAAGGGGCCTGTCTGAAAAACTGCCAAAGTCTTTGAGTACAAGATTTGGTCACCAGTTTTAGCCTGTTGTGAAAATGATTTAGGCCACATGAATACACCTTTCCAGTGTGAGACAGTTTTTGCTCTAGGCTTTCCAGTTATTCCAGGAAAAGCCTTGTGGCGCTACAGCTGAGTATCATTTATCAGCCAAATTAGAGGAGGTTAAGGGTATAGAAGAGAAATTTATACCTTTCACAGATCAGAAACTCAAGTTGGGAACGAGATTGTTTTTAAAGGGTTGTGGCAGTCGCAGGTCAAAACTGGGATTGAGTTCTCCATGACTCCAACATTTTACATAGCCAAGGTTGGTTTTTATTGTCATTGTTTTGTTTTATTGGTTTTTTTTAAGTTTAAACATTTTTTAAAGTGAGCCTCTTATTTTTCTTTTAATGTTTTTTCTTATGCACTTTTAAAAATTTATTTATTTATTTTTGGCTGCATTGGGTCTTTGTTACTGTGCACGGGTTTTCTCTAGTTGCGGTGAATGGGGGCTACTCTTGCAGTGTGCGGGCTTCTCATTGCAGTGGCTTCTCTTGTTGTGGAGCATGGCCTCTAGACGCACCGGCTTCAGTAGTTGTGGCACATGGGCTCAGTAGTTGTGCCTCGCAGGCTTAGTAGTTGTGGCCCACGGGCTTAGTTGCTCCGCAGCATGTGGGATCTTCCCAGACCAGGTCTCGAACCAGTGTCCCCTGCACTGGCAGGCAGATTCTTAGCCACTGAGCCACCGGGGAAGCCCTTAATTTTTTTTTACTGACACATATACAAGATTTACCTAAATCTGAAAATGCAATCTCACACTTCTTTTTCAGTCTTTTTACCCTTTTCTTCCTTCCCTGTCTCCCACCTCATCCTCCCTCCACCCACCATGTCACACCCTCCCCAAACACACATACACAAACTTCACCCCATATGGCTACATTTTGAAAGACATTAAAGAAAGAGAAGCCTGTTAAAGGAGGTATTGACATGTGGTGACTTAATGCTTCTAAATTCAGTATTTTTATAGTATCAATCGTAAAATCTTGAATTGAGAAGCCTCACTACCACAGTGTTTTTTAAATTTATTTACTTTTGACTGTGTTGGGTCTTCGTTGCTGTGCACGGTGCGTGGGCTTCTCATTGCGGTGGCTTCTCTTGTTGCAGAGCACGGGCTCTAGGAGCACAGGCTTCAGTAATTGTGGCTCTAGAGCGCAGGCTCAGCAGTTGTGGCTCACGGGCTTAGTTGCTCTGAGGCATGTGGGATCTTCCCAGATCAGGGCTTGAACCCGTGTCCCCTGCATTGGCAGGCGGATTCCTAACCACTGTGCCACCAGGGAAGCCCACTACCACAGTCTTTATTCTGCCTCTTCTCTTACTAGGACCAAATTGGAACGTTGAGACTAGAGCGGTAACTCAGAGATGAGATGTTGTGGGGGCAGATGTTTTCTGAGGACAAAGAAACTTCACCACATATATGACTTGATACGGTTGCAAATAATAACATAGGGCCATCCTCTCAGACCTTCATCCAGGCTCAGCTTCAGGAAAATGCCAAGAGAGTGTCCGTCATCTGAGTGACGGCAGGAAGGCAGGGCCTCTGGTTGTACAACTCCAGGGGGCACCATTCACACTGTATTCCCTCTGGAATGGCGTCCCTGGAAGTAGGCAATAATCTGGTCCTAGTAGAAGGCCAGTCTGAATCAGTCAAAATATCTGAAGTTTTTTGGAAAAATAAAGAAATGCCGTTTTCCCAAAAGAAGATGTTAGCCAACTTTTCCTGTGAAGAGTCAGACAGTAACTATGTTAGGCTTCACAAGCCATACAGTCTCTGTCACAGCCACTCAACACTGCTATTGTAGAATGAAAGTAGCCAAAGGCAAACACATAAACAAATGGATATGACTGTGTTCCAATAAAACTTTATTTACAAAGCCAAACAGTGGCCCAAATTCGTAGTTTGCTGATCTCTGCTCTAAACAACCATGGGAAGTGATGTTTACTAGTAATAGCTAACATCTGTTGAACAGTAATTGTAAGCCAGGCTCTGGTAATCTAGTGGTGTGTGTGGTCATCATTCCCCATTGTGTAGATGAGAAAACTGGCTCAGATGGGTTAGGAAACTTACCAAGGTCTCCCAGCTAGTTAGTAAGATTCAAACTCAGATCTGATGCCAGAACTGGGTGCTTAATCGTTCCTGGGTGACTTCACTCTCATCTCTCACTCAGTGAGAGTGGAGCACAAGTAACCTCCTGGCCTCAGAGAGAGTACTCAGTTTCATGGCATCAGTGTGCACTGACATAACCGAGGAAAGTGTGTGCAGCTTTTGAAGAGAAAGCTGAAAAATGAGAAAGGAAGTCAGGGAAGCTGAGGTGAGACTAGAGACATGGCCTTGCCTAATTCTAGTATTCTATGGTGCTCAGACTTTGTAGGGTTAGGTCAGTGCTATTTTTTAAATTTAAATTTTTAGATCTTTTTAAAAGATTATTTTTGTCACCTCTCTTTAGCATTGTATTGTGTATACGTATGGGGTATTTGTATAATTATTCATTATTAGTCTCCCACTATCATGCATGCTCTATGAATGTAGGATATTCATGTTTTGCTCACTGCTGCAGCCCTAGTGCCTAGAAAAGAACCTGATTCAGAGTAGGCACTCAATAAATGTTCCTGTGATTAATAAATCAAATGTGATCCATAACTACTTAAACTAAATCCATTTAGTCACAAACAGTGGTCAAGTGCCAGACTTTGGAAGTGGTACCAAAAGGAAATTAGACATGTCCTCTCCTGTTACTCTCAGGATCTTCCCACCTTGGGCCTGTCTGTGTGATGATTAGCCCTGAGTCTAGCAGAGCTGAGGTGCAGTATCACCCTTTGCCCCTAGATGTCACTGTCCTCCACATAAACACAGAACCATGCATTCTCAAAACCCAAGTAATGGTAGCTACGCAGCCCATTTGTTGAGCATCTTCTCTGAGCCAGATGTTGTGCTAGGTGCTTTCCATACATCACCTCATTTCACTCTTATACCAACTCTGCAGCTTAGAGCTCACCGGTCTCACTTTTAGAGGAGGAAATAAGCCTAACAGAGTCATACAGCTTGATCAAGATAACATTTCACAGGAGCTGGGATTAGAATGAGGTCTTATAGATCCAAAACGGTGTTCTTTTTTTGCACCGTACTTAGAGATATTACGTGAACCTCCCCACTCCTTGCCATTTTACAAATCAGAAATGCAGAATAAGAGAGGAAGTGATTTGTTAGGGTCACACCAGGTCACAAGGGATGGTCCACATAATCCCAGGTCCTGTCTTTGCACTGCCACTCTGCTACCTCACACTTCATACGTGAGCCTTAAAATTGGGAGGACTTGACTCTCATATTTACCAGAGAGAAATTCTGATGCTCATCTTCTGTGCTGCATGCGTGCCTTCCCTATTCAGGCAGCAGCAGGAGAGGTGCAGCATCCACTCAGAAGGGAGGTCTCTCCCCTGTAGGGGCTCACTGAGGGTGGCCCCAACCCATGTTTCTCAGCCCTACCCTTCAATGTACTACTTCTTGTCCAGTGTAGACTGTGCAGTCCCAACAGACCTGAGGTGTGGTGTGCTGGAGTGTAAGGTGGTCCGTACTCCTGTATGCATGAGCTCTCAGGAAGAGGCCAGGAGAAAGTGGTACTGCTGAGCAAGTTCAAGTTCACTGCCTCCTGGGATTTAGACTGTGGGGAGAGTAGTACCCCTTATGTCTCGTGGGAAAGACTTGGCAGAGAGGGAGGGACCTGGAGGTGCTGGCACTTGCTGGTTGGGGAAGTTTGGGGAGGGGGAGAGGACTGAGAGGCCGAGGCCCACAACTCTGCCTGCCCGGTGCTTGTGGCATCTGCATCCTCCTGTCCATCTGGCAGTCACTGCTCTGGATCAGGCCTTATCCTTCCTCATCAGGACAATGGCCCCAGCTCCTAACTGGCCTCCTGCAGGATCCCGCCTCAGGTTCACCCCTTAATGCTGCAGAGAGCTCCCCATCACGCTGATGCTCAAAGACGCTTAAACCTCCAGTGGCCCCCATGAGGCCCCATCACATGTCATGCAGGCTCTCTCTCTCCAGCCAGCCCTGTTTCCAGCCACCCCCAACCGACCCCATGCACACCCAGCCACACAGAGCCTCTCACAGAAAGAACAGGGTGTTTCAGACGAAAGAACCAGCACCTACAAATGCCTGGGAAAGGATAGGAACCTGCGGCAGGTGGTGCCTTATAGGAAGTAGAACCTGAGCCCTAGGCAGGAGACAGTGACCTTGAACTTGCTCAACAGCACCACTTTCCCCTGGCCTTTTCCTGAGAGCTCATTCATTCATTCTCCACACGTTCCTCAAGAAGGTTTGAGAGCCAGCCCCTGCACAAGGCACCAGGGCACAGAGGGGAGACTGGATGGTCACTGCCTCGGTTCTGATAGGAACACAGTTGCAGCATGGGCCCCATGCAGGGCACGCCCAGATTCACAGAGGAGCAGCTGCTCAGGCTCAGTCTTGAAATCAGGGTAGGAGGGAACCAGCAGAAAGGTGGGGGAGGGAACTTCCAGGGGTCAGGTGCAGTGTGTGCAAATGCCTGGGGCTCAAACAGCCCTGGGTGAGCATCAAGCAGGGAGGCCCCTTCCAGCCTGTCCTCCAAGTCCTCAGCTCCTCAGGCATTTCTTCCCTTTGGCCCAATTTCTCAAGGCTAACAGGGAGCTGCCTGGTTCCCCTGAGGGCAGGGGTTAAACCAGGTTTCTACAAGCTATCAGCGGTTCACTGAATGCTTCTGAAAAATCTCAGAGGGGGCTTTGCCAGTGCCCCACCCCCAGGTAAAGTGGTCTTGGTGGATTTGATCTCTTTGGCAGTAACTCAGCAGTACTTTCATGTTCTTTTCACAGTTTGGCCACAGAGAAGTCTCTTGAGTTTCTATTTCTCCTTTAAGGATGGCTTTAATCATTAAAAGCCAGACCTGGCGATATTTCTTAAGCTTCTGCTTCAGTTTTGTTTATTTTTCTATAGTCTTTTCTAGAACTACTTCATCACATTAGCTTTTGTTTGGCATTGGGGTGGGGGGTGAGGACACGTAAACATGCAATGAGTGAAATACAGGTTAGCTTTGCCCCAGACAGCATTTGTCCCCAGGCCAATCCCCATCAAACGGACATAAAGTGGGGTGGGACCTTCACAGTGTAATAAAGATACCCCAAGCTGCAAAGTGGGATGGGAATTATATTTCTTCTTTATATATTCCTTCATCTCAATTCAACCAGGCAAACTTCTAAGTATCGACTGCATGCCAGGCCCTGCTAGGTGCTGAGGGCAAACAAATAAATAAAACAGGCTTCCCTTTTGTCAGGGGTTCCCCAGTTTACTGAGGAGGGCCGATGTGTATACAACTTAATATAGCATCTGGTCACTGTAGAACCTGGTAGGTGCTGTAAATGTTTGAGGGTGTGCACTCTGGAGAGAGGAGGAGCTTGGTTCGAATCTAGGCTTCACCTCTTAGTATCTATATTCCACTGAGCAAGTTACTTGGCCCCCAGCACTAGCCTCAGTTTCTTCATCTGAAAATTGGGAATAATAATAGTATTTGCCTTTGTATGAGATGCTGTATGTAAAACAGTCAACCTAGAGGTAGGCACAGTGTAAGTGTTCACTAAATGTTAGCATTTGTATTTATTCTCTTTCTTGTAGTTATGACTATTACTATTCATAAGTATAAGTATTGAACTTATTAAGTATGATTAAGTATGGGAACAGAGTGCTATGGGAGTAGTTAGTTCTGCTGTGGGAGTTAGGGAGGCTTCGTGGAGGAGGCGAAATGAATCTGGGTCTCTAAGGATTATTTGCCACATAGAAAGAAGAGTGTTCCAGACAAAAGAGCCAGCACCCACAAAGGCCTGGGGTGAAAATTACAGCAGGGCCAGAACCTGGGAGTCCTCAAATTTAACTAAGTATATGTGTGTGTTTGGGGCATGGACAAGCCAAGCTCATGAAAGGCCTTGAATGCCAAGCAAAGGAGCTTGGCTGGATTTATCCTGTGGGCGATGGGGAGTCTGAGGAAATTTTCAAACTGGGGGTGACGCCATTCAGTCACCCACCTGACCTGGCCCCTCGGCTGCTGTTTGGGAAGCTCTCTCACGTCCCTTCTGCCCCTGCCCTCTCTGCAGATCATCAAGGACCAGAAACTGCTCGTGATCGTTGGGGGCATGCTGCTGATTGACCTGTGCATCCTGATTTGCTGGCAGGCTGTGGACCCCCTGAGAAGGACGGTGGAGAGGTACAGCATGGAGGTAAGCACCTGGCACCAGCAGGACGGAGGCCTATGCTGCTCCCAGGCGCCCCCCGGGGACGGCAAGGCAGCACATCCCCTTTACTGCCCCAGGTACGCTTCTTGAGAAGAAATCGAGGTGGTTACGGGGAAATCATCATAGGTCCACGTGGGTCCACGTTCCCTATCAGGAACGTCTCATTATTTCCGTTTCCTTCCATTTGAGACATATATTATTTCAGGAGGGCCAAATATAAGGCCTTCACTCCTGGAAAAAAATGGTGAAAGAATTTGTCTAGGTGTATTAATATATGCAGAATTGAGGGGAAATGTTGGGTCGTTTAAACCAGTATATTCTCTACACATTGTAGAAGCCCCCATTTATATGATCCATCAGCCTAGAAATTACATTGCATTTTTAATCTCTCCTTTAAAGTGAGTTCCGTAAGGAGTGCTAGTAGGGAATAAACACTCTGATAGCTCCTCCAGTTACTAGAGGATCTTCAAAGTGATGTGTTGCCAAAAAGAAGAACCTTACATAAAAGTACCGTTAAATATATATTTTAGTAGTCTTGCGTTGGGCCTTGCTCTTAACTCACACTGGTCTTCCTAGGATGCTCCAGTTAGAGAAGTTCAAGATTAGGGAAGTTGTAGTTTTGTCGACTTCCTCCTAGAAGTGTTAAACATGCCTTTGTCGGAAAGAGCCAGCTGAACGGCGGTGGCTGTACAGTATGACTTCCCTACGGTGTAGCAGATTCTATTGAGAAAACTGGAGTTTCCTCCAGTTCTCTCACTGCACTATTAGGGAAATCTTTTTGTGGGATTTAGTGTGAATTTTATCAATAAAACTAAACTGGAAACAGTCATTTTATGCATTGAAGACAGAAGTTTTTATCCTTCTGGACAAGAAGGGTTTTCTAGCAAATAAGATGCCGGGCCTCGTTTGTCTGGAGACAGGCAGAGGGTTCGCTCAGCCCGGTAAGAAGTTATGCAGTTGGAGCAGTGGCAGAGAACGCTATTTCCTGACAGCACAGATTTAGGGGAAGGATTTAAGGCTGTGCGCTTCCATCTCACTGCCTTACGTGTCCATCCGGGGAGGAAGCGGGACTCCAGACAGGCACAATCAGACCTGGCAGAGGACAGACCTGCGCTGGCTGTGCTCACGGGCCAAGGGGGCAGGAGCTCAGCTGAAGTCACTCGCACAGACGGGCTGTGGCTAGAGGGGAGGTGACATCTGGTCATCACTCATCTGCACAGTTGGCGAAGGAGCAGACCTGCCCCCAACTCCATCCCAGGGGAATTCACCACCCACCACCAGGATTTGGAAATCCAGACAGGCTATCAACAGGAGGAAGGGCTGATACTGGCCAACCGGGCCCCCTGGCTAGGGAGAGCCTGGGGTGATGATAATCACAAGCAATAATGCTAATAACAGTAATAACAGTGGTGATGCTGGTAGCTAGATGTGTGTGTTAATTCGCTGAATCCTCACAGTAACTCTGTGGAATAGGTGCTATCCTGAACTCCATGTTAATGATGAGGAAACAGAAACCCAGAGAGATTATATAAGGCACCCAAGGTCACCTAGCAGGTTAGTGGCAACACCACCAACTATCGCCTCCCCCACTCCCCCACCCTGCCTTTCAATACACAACAGCACCTCATCGTTTTCAGGTGTATCCACAGACACTTGGTCACTGGTCTGTGAAGTGGGTTGGGCAAAGAAGTGTTTTCACATTTTGCAGACGAAGCCTAAAAATAGGTAACAGGCGACTGAGCGCCCAGGATATCAGGGAGGGAGAAAAGGCGAGTCAGGCGGAGCCCACAGGAGGACCTGGAGCTGGGGCAGATGGGCAGAGAGCAGACCCCGCTCGGTTGATTCTGAGCCCAGTGGCAGCCGACGCGGCAGGGCACTGTCACCTCCGCTCAAGGTTAAGGTCGGGGCGGAGCGTGCACAGGATCCCCTGGGATCTGGCTGTGGTGGGAGAGGCTGCAGGGCTAGAGTCGGCGACTCTGGAAATAAATCCAGGAAGCCTGTCCCCCTGGACCGTTTACAGGAGGTAGACCTTGTGCAGACCATAAGTATGAGGAACAGTTTGCTACCACCCACATTACCTTTCTTCCTTGCTCTCTGTAGTAAGTACTGCTGCTCTCCATGGCTCCACACATACAACGCAAGCCCATTCCAGACCTTTCAGGGAATGTTTTTCAAACTGAGGAGCAGCTGGGTGCCACGGAAGTGCTTCTCTGTGTAGATGAGGAAACTGAGCCTGGGAAGCAAGGGGGTCCTGCCCGCGGCATCTAGACTTTTGAAGGGGGGTGGCTGGAGGAGAGCCACATCCCTGGCTCGAGTTCCCCACACCTTGTCTCTGTGTTTCCCTCCAAGTATCTGTGGAGATTTCTCTCTAAACCTTTCCTGGCCTGATCCTCGTTTCTCCTCTAATTTTAGGGTTGCCCTGTCATTCTGTTGCCATGGTAGCAGAACCTTTGATTTGTCGACCCACAGCCCTGTCGGTTTATTGCCATTTTTCCACCAAACATCGCTGAACTATCAGTTGATCTCCCTCAGACCCTCCTCTGTGAGACGCAGCATGATGGTTGAACAGTGTGCCCAGGGACTAAGGGCTCCGAAGTTCTCCTCAAGGGCTGTTTGCTCCAGAACCCCCAGTGAGAGAGAAAGTTTATGCTTGGGGGATAGGTGATCAAAGATCTCTGTGGTCTGTTCTCTCCTCCCCTCAGACCACACCTACCTCGGATGCCTTTGGTCGTTCTGGACACTCTAAACACCTCAGGATGCCAGTCACAGGCCTTGCTCTGTGTTGCACTTTCAGGCCTTTGCCCATGCTGTCCCCCCTTCCAGAACCTTCTCTGACAAGTAAATGAACTTCAGTTCCAGGCCCCTGTATTAGCCAATGTGTTCCTGAGCTCCACCAGATTTAAGCGCCTGCTCTTCCCCACTCCGGTCCCCAGCATCTAGGCATCCCCTGTCAGGACACTTAGCATGCTGTTCACCCCTGCTGAGTGCATTTCTGCCCCACCCACCCCTCCTGGGCCACACAGATCACTCTGCCGCACCACCCAGCCCAGCACCGCCGCATGCTGGGAGACCTCACCTCGCTGGGGAGACAGAGGTGAGCACAACAGCATGACACCTTGAGCTCATGGTGCCCACCAGCTAGTGGGGGGGCAGACGGTAAACATGCAAATAAGTACAGTCACTTTAGATTGCACAGATTCTGATAGCAGCTGGAAGTAAATAAACAAGATGAAGGGTTTGAGAATAACAGAAGAGTTCCAGAATAACTCGTGGAAGAGATTCTCTCAGTGCAAGTGTCCAAGGAATGAAACTCTGATTCTGGAGTCCGACTGGAGGCATCCCGGCTCCACATTTATTCATTTGTACATAATAAATATCTATATAGCACTTGTCATGTGCTAGATACTGTTCTAAATACATGATGTTTATCATTTTAAAGGAGTTTTTATGCTTAATTAATAGACTTTATTTCTTAGACCAGTTTTAGGTTTACAGAAAAATTTAATAGAAAGCATAGAGAGTTCCCATATATGTCCCACCCCACACCCCATAGTTTCCCCCATTATTAACATCTTGCATTATGTGGTATGTTTGTTACAATTGATGAACCAATACTGACACATTGTTATTCGCTAGAATCCATAGTTTACATAGAGTTCACTCTTTGTGTTGTACATTCTATAGATTTTGCCCAATGCATAAAATTATGTATCTGCCATTACAGTGTCATACAGAACAGTTTCACTGTCTGAGATATCCTCTATGCTTACCAACCCCTGGCAGCCACTGACCTTTTACTGTCTACATAGCTTTGCGTTTTCCGGAATGTCATATAGTTGGAATCATACACCATGTAGCCTTTTTAGACTGGCTTCTTTGACTCAACAATATGCATTTAAGATTCCTCCATGTCTTTTCATGACTTGATAGCTCATTTCTTCTTATCAATGAATAATATTCTATTGTATGGATGCACCACAGTTTATTTGCCCACTGAAGGACATCTTGGTTGCTTCCAAGTTTGGGTAATTATTAATAAAGCTGCTATAAGCATTTTTGTGTAGGGTTTTATGTGGACATAAGTTTTCAACTAATTTGGGTAAATACCTAGAATCAGGATTGCTGGATCATATTCTACGAGTATGTTTAGTTTTGCCAAACTGTCTTGCAAACTGGCTGTACCATTTTGCATTCCCATCAGCAATGAATGGGAGTGTCTGTTGCTCCATCCTCGTCATCATTTGGTGTTGTTGGTATTTTGGATTTTAGCCATTCTAATAAGTGTGTGGTAGTACCACGTTGTTTTAATGTACAATTTCCTAATGACATATGATGTGGAACATCCTTTCATATACTTATAGTATTTGCCACACGTATTTCTTCTTTGGTGAGGTATATGTTCAGATCTCTTGCCCACTTTTTCATTAGATTGTCTTCTTATTGTTGAGTTTTAAGAATTCTTTGTGTATTTTGTTTGTTTGTGGTTGTTGTTTTTGGCCGTACCGCACAGCTTGTGGGATCTTAGTTCCCCGACCAGGGATTGAACCCAGGGCCACAGCAGTGAGAGAGCACCAAGTCCTAACCACTGGACCGCCAGGGAATTCCCTCTTGGTATATTTTGGATACAAGAACTTTATCATATATATATTTTGAAAATAATTTCTCTGAGTCTGTATCTTGTCTTTTCATTCCCTTAACATTGTCTTTAGCAGAGCAGAAATTTTTTACTTTAATGTAGTCCAAGTTAACAATTTTTTATTTCATGGACCATGTTTTTGGTGGTGTGATCTGAAAACTCATTGCCAAACCCATGGTCACCTAGATTTTCTCCTGTTATCTTCCAGAAGTTTTATAGCTTTGTGTTTTACATTTAGGTCTATGATCAAGTTTGAGTTAATTTTTGTAAAAGGTGCAAGGTCACTGTCTAGATTCACTTTTATGCATGTAAATGTCTAGTTGTTCCAGCACCATTTGTTGAAAATACT